TTACCAACAGCAGCAGCCAGTCTCCTGAAACAGTCTCGTATTCTTTGAAAGTTGTTAGGACGGCTAAGATCAAACACCCCAAAACTATGAGAAACCTGGAACAAATAAAAGGAGAAAACAGAGCATTGTTACCTCTGAATCTACTTGTTTAAAAAGGGACCATCTAGCATCCCACGCGGAGGCCTTAAAGGGTTTGCTACTTACCATCAGTGAGCAGTGTGGGATGGGCTCTCATTGAGATCAAAGGTTCTGAACCTGGGGAGTCACAAAGAGGTGTCAGGGGGATTAGGACCACTTTGCTCTTCCCATACTGCTAAACAGGGCATGGTGCTGGGTACATCCCAGAGCTGTAGGGTCCTGCTGTTGAAAAGGACCCAAAGTGTGGAGAGGGTGAAGAGAATTTTATTTATTAATTAATATTACTTAATTTCATAAAAGCCTCTGGCCATCACTACAATTTCAGAAGTTCAATGGGAGGAGAAGAGAGGAGGAGGAGCATATTGTTATGGTCACAAAAGGGATTTTAAGACATAACTGAATAATGGCAAGGGCCTGAATGCGGTGACCCTGATGGTCCCTCAAGCCTAGTGTTCCTATGTTCATGGACATTTCATTTGTGGATATTACCTCCCGTCTGCACTGACTGTATGCAGGATGCATAGGTCTCACCCCCATGATGGGCATTTTAGAATTGCATATGCCAATAATTAATAATGAGATGGCACTGCCATAACAGCAAAGAAAATCTATTCAGCACGCACTGAAAACCAGAAACACCGCATGAACAGTTCCATATGCTGGGAATTTTGGCACCAATACAACTTTAGGGAATACTCTAGTGCTCTCTCTCCCTACTATTTTGTGCAGATAAGGAAAATAAGGGGTCAGAGATGGGAACAATCCTAAAGACACAGTTCTGCTCCTTGACGTACTTGATTTATGTTAAAAAGCTGCTAATATTAGTTCCAGGCTATGTGAACAGAATGGCTCTGAAGAAAATCTTTCTTTCCAGGTCACTTTGATCACTCAGACGATATCAATATGGCAACAGGAAATTGAGTTTTGTGACAGATGAGAAACAGGGCAACTTTAACTCTCACCACTGGTACATCTGAAATAACCACAATGAACCATCTCACAAAGGAGTTTTCAGGCTCACTGTATCCAAAACTGCCTGCTGCAAGGGAGATGGTTATCAGCCAAGGTGCACTGGGCACCTTGTAAGGCAAGAAGGCCCTAAACCACCCCCCACCCACTTCCAACAACAATGAACTCTATTGTGCTTGGAAGCCATGCCAGAGCATCCTGGCTAGGACGGAAGCGCAAAGGACCCTTTGGAGGCATTGACCCCAGTCCCCAACTACTGCAAGCACCCATGTCATATAGACCTGGTTCACAAGCTGCTCACACTCTACCTAACACAATTAGATTTCTGTCCTCCCTGCTCCCGAACCTCCCAGCTCTGATATTCAGAAATGTCTTCATCTCTCCAACCTGAACGTATTCCTGGCCAGTTTATACCTCATTTTCTTGTGCCAACGTTCTCCTTTACCCACAACAGTTCTGCTCCCCGCTTGGTGTTGGCCCCATCAGAGGTATGTAAAAAGAAACACGACATTCCCTCTGGACCTGGTTGGGGAATGAGTTTGCCCCCTACAATAAAATCAGTGCAGGGACTTCCCCCAAACATCACCTCCCATACGGTGGCCCATACCGTCATCTCTTCCAGTAGCCAGCAGAGACATCACCTTCCCCAGCTATGCTCTGCAGAGCTGAAACAGGGCTGACAGACATCAGTCCCAGCCTTTTTCCCTGGCTTCCCTGAGCTCTCTCTTTCTCTCTTTTCCCCAATATGATTTTTGTGACAGAAGGTGCTACACAGCTCCCTGAGGTTTTTTTTTAATGAATTTCTTTATGGATTCCAAACAATGAAACAGTTTTCTTACCCTGGCACGGTACTGACCTGATTTAGTGATTTCATTTCAATCAACATTATTATAGATGCAGCAGGTAACGCTGCTTATTATTAAAGTTGCTTGCCACTTCCTTGGGCTGTTGCTGATAACTTTACCCAAACTGTTTGGGCTGATGTTTTCCACGTCAGGAAAATTGCCTCAAGCTGGAAAAACCCATTTCAGACAGTTCAGCCGTTGCTGAGAACGAGATCAGAGAAAGGTATGTTGCTTTACCTGCATTAAATTATTCTGGCAACATCTGCCTTTTGAAGCAATAAAAATCTCTCTCTCCATGCTAAGGAGCAAGGTTAGACCCTAGGAAGGTGTATAGCTTTTGACGGGGTTAGAAGACTTTGGAAGACTTTGCTTTCTATCTGATGGAAAACTACAGGAAGAACTGAAATTGACTGGACAAAGAGCCTGGATCCAAAGCAAAAAATACTGAGATAAAACAGAGTTTGAGGAGGGAGGTTGAGATTGGGAGACAGCGAAGACAGAGAACCATGACAAGGACAGAATGAAGAAGAGAACAGGTAGATCAGGGAAGGAGCAAAGAGGTAGGTAGAGAAATGGAAATGTTTGGTCCAGGAAGTTAGGACTTGGAGATGGAAATGAAGAGCTTGGTGGAGGGGTCTTGGGTTGGGAAGGCAAGGAGACTGGGAGTGGACTGAGCAGCAGAGCTGGGGAAGGCAGAACAGGAAGAGAGACAGAGTGGAGGAGATCAGGAAGAAAGGATTAAATCTACAGAAGAGTTAATTAAACAGTTGATGAAATATTCAGGGGAAATCACTGTTGCAGAAAGATTTCACTAAGATTTGACCCTAAAAGACCAAGAAGTACCAGGCCTATATTGAAGATCAACTAAAATAATGTTTTTCATTGCATTTCCTCTCAAGTGCTACCTTTATTTTAAGCACTGCAGGGTGCTGAACCTCCACAGAGGGAAGGGATCCAGCTCTCCGAAATATTTTCTCCACTGTACTGATCAGTCAACTAGAGACACGATCCACTTGACAACTGAGAATCATAGCAGAACCATCAAAGCAACAAAAGCTACCGAACCTAGAAATCAATCAGCTGGTTGTGGGGAATGAAATAAATGAATAAGAAAAGAGAGATGGGAATGAAGCTAGCTGATATGGTCAATATGAGTGACAGACAGTTGGACACTGAGGCAAGAACCATGGACCATACACACAGCTCCAAGAAGTCACTGGATGTTGCCAAGGGAAAGGGCAAAAGCCTCAGTTAAAGAGAAGTTCCTGGTCAAGCTTCCTTCTCCAGGACTTATGGATAGTCCTGTTGGTCACTGTCATACAACCATAGAATCACAGAAAGTTAGGGTTGGAAGGGACCTCAGGAAGTCATCTAGTCCAACCACCTGCTCAAAGCAGGACCAGCCCCAACTAGATTATCCCAGCCAAGGCTTTGTCTAGCTGGGTCTTAAAAACCTCCAAGGATGGAGAGTCCACCACCTCTCTAGGTAACCTGTTCCAGTGCTTACTACCCTCCTCATGATAAAGTTTTTTCTAATATCCAACCTAAACTTCCCTTGCTGCAACTTGAGCCCATTGCTCCTTGTTCTGTCATCTGCCACCACTGAGAACAGTCCAGCTCCATCCTCTTCGGAAGCCCCTTCAGGTAGTTGAAGAGGCTGCTATTAAATCCCCTCAGTCTTCTCTTCTATAGACTAAATAAGTCCACTTCCCTCAGCCTCTCCTCAGAAGTCATGTCCCCCAGTGCACATGTCCCCATGTGTGCTGCCCTTTGCTGGACTCTCTCCAATTTGTCCACACCCTTTCTATAGTGGGGGGCCCAAAACTAGACAAAGGACTCCATATGTGACCCCATCAGTGCCAAACAGATGGGAATAATCACTTCCCTTGATCTGCTGGCAACACTGCTACCAATGCAGCCCTGTATGCCGTTAGCCTTCTTCCAAGCAAGGGCACACTGCTGGCTCATATTCAGCTTTCTGTCCTCTGTAACCCCCAGGTCCTTTTCTGCAGAGCTGCTGTTTAGCCAGTTGGTCCCCAGCCTGCACTGGTGCATGGGATTCTTCCGTCTTAATTGCAGGACTTTGCACTTGTCATTATTGGACCCCATGAGATTTCTTTTGGTCCAATCCTACAATTTCTCTAGGTCTCTCTGAATCCTAGCCCTAGCCTCCAGTGTATCTACTACTTCCACCAACTTGGTGTCATCTGCAAACATGTTAATGGTGCCCTCCATCCCACCTTCTACATCAATGAAGATACTGAACAAAACCGTCCCCAGGAATGACCCCTGGGGCACTCCACTTGATACTGGCTGCCAACTAGACATCAAGCTATTGATTACTACACTCTAAGTAGTAACCAATGCTTCAGCCAGTTTTCTATCCACATTACAGTCCATTCATCCAACCCGTACTTCCTTAGCTTGCCTGCAAGACTGTTGTAGGAGACTGTATCAAAAGCCTTGCTAAAGTCAAGATAATCATGTCTACTGCTCTCCCCACATCCACACAGTCAGTCTATTCTATGATCCCATGAACTCGTCTTCCTTGCCACAGAGGGAAGAATGCAAAGCAATAGTTTTACATGGAAAGGAAGTGTATTTCGGTTAGGTATCTGGAAAAACTGTCTTACCATTAGACTAGCGAGGCAGTGAAACAGACTGCCCCGGGCAGTTGTGGACACTCCTTCACTAGAGATTTGCAAGACGAGTCTGGATAATCATTGGTCGGGGATGACTGAGGAGTCGCATTCTTACATTCATGTAGGGACCTTGAGGTCCTTCCACGTTATGATTCTCTGCTTCTAGCCTAAACTACATGAGTTGCCCTTCTCCACTTGTATTATCTTGCCACAGCAGTGCACCAAACACACAAGAAGACACAAGTAGAGGGCAGACTGACTCCTAGAAGTCCTTTTCGGAAGGTAATACAAGCACCTTGGGACTGAATCTGCCTGCTTTATCAGTCTCCTGTGCTTAGCTCTCCTCGAGTAACGCTTATCGGCATTTTGCACCAGAGAAATGAGTGCTAGAGATCTGACCTGCTTTTTAAGGCAGCTTTAATTTTTTTAAGTGTAGATGACCACCATAGATATGTAAGTCAAGGGAACCAGAAAGTTTTACGGTCTTTTTGCTTTCGCACCTCCTTAGGGATTTTTATCTCTGAATGTAATGTAATGACCAATCCTTCCTCTTCCCTTCCACTTTTGACATAAGCTTGTACAGTCAGTAATTGCAAGTGGAGATGCCAAGCGACCCGAGGTTTTCTGGGAGTTCCTGTTTCTGGACGTGGCTGTCCTAGAAATCAGCAAAGCTCATGATTTGTTTCAGAAGAAGGTTGAGACAGTGCCAAAGAAGGGAAGAGTGAACAGAAAGAGAAATGGAGAGAAATGTAGCCAGGATCTCAGCAGTAGGTCCTGGAGAAGCTGGAAAATGGACAACCTGGCATGCTGCAACTAAAGGTGGGAAAGGGTCTCTCATGCACCAGAGAGATTCAGGTGTTGGGCACCGCAGTCACCTGTGCTAGTACTCACACTCATCGCTCTCTGGAGGATTCACTACTGAATGTCCCCATAGAATGAGGATGGGGCAGAAATGCCAGATTGAAAACCCAGGTACAACAGTGGATTCTTAATATACGTAAGAAGCAACGGTGTATGCTTCATCGGTGTGTTCACCACACATGGCCCCTCGAGGAAGGGATAATACGAGACCTGACCTCATGCCTAGGTGATCCTTGGCCTTACATCCAGAGGCACAACTGGCCAGGAATGCACCTGGGGCAGTCCTCCTTCCCCCTGTACCCCAGGCTCTGGAGTCTCATGCAGTGGGGACCATGCAGAAGCAGTGGTTCAAGTTTGCTGCTGCTGAGAGGAGACGTCAGCTCATTTTTTTGCCGCAGACGCCCACATCAAGTGGACAAAAAAAACCCTTCTGATTTCAGCAGCAAAAAATAACAGCCAGCATTTTTCTCAAGCAGCAGTGAGCTCTGCAGCGGCTCTACAGAACTACATTTCCCAGAACGCCCTTCGCTCACTGACATGCTCCTGTGCTGTTGCAGCTACTTGCTGCAGAGGTTGGAGACAGAAAGTGCAAGAGGAAGCAAAGTGGGGAGGGAGAGATGGAAAGGTGAGGTGCCCCCACCTTTCCATTCTGGCATCCCCTCCGCTAGGCAGCAGCCAGGGCTTGTGTCCCACTTGCCATCCTTAGGCTACTTCTCATGCCTGAATGTGCCCAAAAGGCACCTCACCAGCTGGTGAGGTGGATGCAGAGGCATTCCTACCAGGGTCTGAGCCCTGGGTGGCAGCAGTGGCAGAGGTCAGGCCAGCTGTTGCAATAGTGGCACCTGGGCTAGCAGTGGTAGTGACTGCCATCTCTAAGTGATGCCAGGGCTGGTGCCCCAGGTGTCTCGTTATGCTCCTGGGGGGCAGAAAACACCCAGAACGCCAGCTTATTTGTTGAAGCAGGCCAGGGCCATTATCTCTCTCCAAAGGGGAAACTGAGATTACAAGAGATTTCCTCCAGCCACTTATGAGACAGTCTGAGTCCAGAATGGGACCTGAGACTCAGCACCACTGTGTCCTTGCAGGCCCTGATACATCACAAAACCGACTGGTTTTGGTTCTTTAACCACCTCCCCTTGCATTCAAACCTAGATGTGAGACTCCATTTTCCCTTACCAACCCTACTGGCCATTCAGCAAAGGACAGAGCACAAACGCAACTCAGGCTAAGCCATGGTGGGCACCAACCCCTAGTAGCTAGACTGCATTCAGGGCATGTCTACACCAGGACAGCAATAAGTTCTGGCCAGCATGGCACTGAGCACACCCACCCATCTGCTCTTGCTTCTGTACTCCAGAACTGAAGATGTGCCAGCGAGGCTGCTCTGGTATGTCCTTCTGCAGCCACTGCCAAGAGCTCCGTCTCTGCTATGTTTGAGAGCAGCTGCTGGGGACAACCCCGGAGAGGCCTACTTGCACTTTTCTGTGGTTGCAGCATGCAAGTTGGAGTGATAGATGAGGACGTTGCAAACTTTTCCA